CTTTATTAAAAACAAATTTAGTATAATTAAAATACGTATATATATATATTTACCGTTACCATCTGCTGTACGTACCATCCGCCCTTCGTCCGGTACCAGCAGTTACTTAAAATCTATAAAAAAATATCTCTACTTACATAATTACAGTGATTTGCTAAAGAAGAGATAATATTTTTAAATTTTAAGTAACTCAGTTTTTGTAGTTTTGACTTTCTTGCTTCATTACTTTTGTAGCATTACAACTTTCTATATCACTATAGCTAGCTAGGTTACATGTATATTGATTCCCACATGTCTTGATAAATTCTTTTATTATTCTTGTAGATATACATTCTGTTAGCCGAATTGTTTTGTGCCGAACAAAGCCCATTTGTGGGCGTGCCGAAGTATTGATCTGTGGGTCCAATGTTCGCGTCCCGTTACCACACAAAAAAAGTATTTCGCACATTGAAAGCGTGTGGTCGTTATAAAAAAGTGACTGTCAAGTCCCACTATATGGTAAAGTAATCTAAGAGTCTATCACTTCAAAATTAAGGACTACATTCAACAAAACAAACATACATAACTGGTTTAGTGCTGGCCTACCCTTATGGCGAACTGAGTTCGGTCCCCTGCAGGTCTGTTTCATAAGTAAAGTAATATATGTTGTGTGTGTGTTTGTTTATTTTTATTATTTAAATATTACATCTCAGTTGAGTTAATTAAAAAATAAAAACTCTTCAAACAGCAAGGCCGAAAAAAACAACAACAGAAGATGTCAAACAACAAATTAAACTTGGGTACAAACGCATACACGACTCTCCATCCTAGGAACATGCCATTATTTACTTAAGGGTCGTGCGTGGTCCAGTGGTTAGCGTTCTGGTCTGTGAATCTGAGAGTCTATGGTTCGAATCCCATTGTTGTAAAATCGCCCCCCCCCACTTTTGGGGCAATGATTGTGATATAAGAGTAACGGTCAAATCCACTATTCGATTGTAGTAGCCCAAGATTGCTGTTGGCTATAGCTGACTTCCCTCTAATCTATCAGCTCAATATTAGATATGACTAGCGCAAATAGTCCTAGTGTAGCTATAAGTGAATATCCAGAACCACAAAACAATCATGTAATTAAATTCTAAAGAACATTTCTGCAAAACTGTCAGTCAAATATATCAACTTATTAAGTGTTTTTGTTTGGGTTTTTTTTCTATCTGAATATATATATATATATATATGTGTGTGTGTGTGTGTGTGTGTGTGTTATTAATACATCCAACACGAGTTCATAATATTACAACGCGTCACGTATATTGAAGTGCAACTGAATAAACAATAATGGGGTCGTGGGGGGTTTATAATACAGACAAATCAACAATTTCGTACTTGCTCCATCGAACGTTTGACGCTTTATTTCGATGCGGTATCGACAGCTGGGTTTTTGTTTGCAGTAAAATAGCTAAATGTTCCGGAAAAGAACAATAAAACTATAATTTTAAAGTCTCCTATAACGTTGTTTTGTGTAACAATGGAGAAAAACAATGTTCTATCAATTCATTGGTGAAGCATAGCTTAGGGTAATATTTGGTACCTTACTTTAGTGTGTAGGCCTATTCATTTATGTATCAGCATTCTGGAAACCTGACTTAATAGCTGACGTTCCTATATATTAATAAATTAGTTACAATAAGTCAATAAGGATAGTTTATTATCTTTTATTAGTTAGTAAATTA